AGCTGAGCTTCAGAGCCAACACCCTTTTTTTTTTTTTTTATTCGCACATTACCTTTGCGTGAAATTACGCGTTTAAAAAGTATCTGTGTAACACCTACGTAGCATTGTGCTTGAAAGACTATTGCAATCAGTGTGAATAACTCCAGAACCGATTGTTTTATTGTAAATTATTTTTTAGAACTTTCTTGTTATGCTGGAAAATTAGTGATTGTGGATGTTTCTCAATGTCAGTCTGTGTTAATGATTTACCTTGTTCAGTTAGCAAAAGTCAAACTAAAAAAATTGCATGGCATTTCCCTGAAGTTCCCTGTGCTGATAAATTATAACTACACAGGTTTATGTTCAGTAATGTATTAACTGTTTTCTTGGAGGACAACTAGGTAACACAGCTTTTTAGCAAAATCTGTTTGATAAATGTAGTATTATTTAAGGAAATGTTTTACATGGGTTGAAATCTCAGCTCAACTGAAGTCTTGTAACATTTCTGAGGCCTAGGAAACATTTTTATTAAATTAAAGTGTTCAGAATTGGCATAGTTTTACATGGTACATACTTTTACAAGCATAAATCAATTTTTTGTGTGTGTGTTAATTTACACTAGAAGAAGGTAATTAAGATCCAAATGTCTGATAGAGCAAAGAATTGCAATATTCTTAGAATTAGAATTCACGTAGAGTGCTCTAAGTAATAAAAAAGGCTTTTCTGTTAATGACAAAGTTGGGCAAAGAAACTCTACTGAGGGTAATAAATACCAATTTTTAGAGAAAGGTCTTGAAAGTATATATACCAGAAAATGTAGATGTTTATAAAATACAAATCTTACATTAACAAGAAATTAACCTTTAAAAGATATTAGCATATCTTGCACACATGTCTAATATTTCCTTAATTTTTCCTGGTTTTGGGTAAATTACATATTTTACCCATGTGCAGGAAAAAGAATTACCTAAGTATATTTTATAATCACAGTAACAAATAAAACCAACTTGTAATATTTCAAACTGTACGACCCAGTATGATAGTTCCATCGGTTTTCATTTTAAATAGCTTTTGGAACAGTGCGAGAGCTCTATGGTGACAGATTAAGCAGCTAGATGAAATGTTTTCAGTTGGGTTTCCTCCCATTCTGTAAAAATACAGTATTTTCTCTTTACCTTTTAGCTAAGAAAAAGCACTTTTGTAGGTACAGGAGTAAAAATCGGTGTATTTGCCGCTGTGGTAACCCGTCTGGAGGGCAAAATACAAGAAGAGAGCGGGCTCCTCTGCAAAGCCAGCCCTCTTGTGTGTTTTAACAGAGAGATCTTACAAATGCCTTTATTTTGCAAGACGGGAACAGATCGCTGCTCAGGTATCTTCACTGCACGGCCCTGCAGCGTGAGCGGGTTTAATTCCGGAGTTCAACATGGGCTTGGCGATGAATTCCTGCAGGTGGTAGGTGAGGGGGTAGTTGAGCTCACGTTTATTCTGGATACTTCCTGAGGCGCTGCTCCTGTAAAATATTTTCTTCATTGTAAAGCAAGTCAGAAGGGGGCTCAAGGTGGGGTGTGAGGGAGCAGAAGGTTTATAAAATGCTGGGGAGCCACTGAAGCTGTGCGCAGCGGCCCCGACTTCGACTCTGGCCTCAGCATCCCTAAGCGATATGGGACTGTCTTCACATATCACGTTCTAACTCTTTGAGGTCTCTGCCCTTCCTTCTCCTGGTTTTCCTCTTACTGGTGTCCGTACTGGTCTCTCTCCGAAGATGCTTCTGCCGCTCCTCAGACCTGCCATGAGAAGGTCCCTTCCCTCTCTGCCGTGCAGCTCTGCCTTCCATCCTGCTGCTTGGGCTTCTGCCTCGGCTCAAGCTGCCCTGCTCCAGCGTTGGGTACGAAGCAGGGAACGGGGGAGACACTCCAGAGAGTTTTATTTCTGCGAGACAGCAGAGATGAGACTCTCAGAGGAACTCTGCGGCTCACCCCCCTCACCCTCTTCTCCTGCCAAAGGACTGTCTTAAAAGCAAGGTCAACGACAGAGGAGCAGCGGCTTCACCCTCTCCTGGTGAACTCTGCGTGCTCCCATCTCTAATAATTCATGCATTTTGTTATTCTGTATCAGAATGTGTGACTCAGATCTATGAAAATACGTACTTCCAAGGAGGAGACCTCACTACGGTTTTTACACCGAGTGCCAATTACTGCCAAGTGGTGTGTACTTACCATCCTACTTGTCTGCTCTTCACCTATTTGCCAGCAGCATGGGCTAAAGACCCCGCAAAAAGGTAAAAAGTTCATGTTCGTGTGGCTTTTGCTGGTCTCCTGTGATAATTTTAGGAACTTGTTAATGTTTTGACAGAACACAGGCACGCAGGTAAAGCTACAGGGTTGCCATTGTATATAAGATATATGTATCATAAGATATATGACAATGTCATGTATCTTTAAAATTGGTGATCTGAAAGAGCATTTGCTTAAATTCGAAAGATTAAATTTGGCAGTGCCCCATTTTTCACCTTTGCATACCAGCCCTTTCAAGGAAACAGAGCTGACTGCGCACTTGCTCCTCTGTGCCACGTATTTACCGTTGAGGGACAACGCGAGCAATTTCACATCTCCAGTGGTCCCCTCTACTGTCCCCCACCTTCTCTCTCTAGCATACTCTTCTCACAATTAAGAACTTCAGCAGCCTGAGAGGACGAGGTTGTCCTCCTTCTCTATGCCCAGTGTGTTTCTGTCCTCCAAACCCTGGGCTCTGCTTTTCGCTTTAACGAGACCTCTTGGAGCTCCCTCATGCACCGAGTGATCTCATCTGCCACCAGTGCCAAAAAAGCAGATGCGGCTCTACCCTGTCTTTCTCCAAATTGCACTTGTTGTCTAAACTTTAACATTGAGGGACATCAGACAGCCTATATTTCATGTGAGACACAATTATGAAAGTCTGTTGTACTGCAAAAGCTGTGAATTTCTGCATTTTAAAACACAGGTTTTCCTGCTACTTAAAAGATAGTGATACAGAAATGCTGCCGAAAGTGGATATGGAAGGAGCTATCTCTGGACATTCCTTAAAACAGTGTAACATCCAAATCAGTGGTAAGATATTATTCACAGGTATGCATTTTATGCTCTGTATCATGTAGCAGATGTTAGAAAATTAGCATTTTGAAAACAGGAATAGAATCAGGGAAGCAGCCGAGCAGTGATTTGTATGTCCTTTGCCAGATTTCTTTCCAACACAGCTTGCGAAATCTTCCAACTGGTTTCACCCGTGTTTCACCCATCAGCCCCAACTACCCACCACCGAGGTTCCCTGGATGAGGTAACAGGGAAACTATGCTCCTGCAGTCACTTTTCATTTCCTAGGGGCAGATGGGAGCACATGCTTTAGCTGGTAGCTTTGGTTCTAAGGGTTAATTTACCACTACAATTCCACTCCAGCAAGCTGCTCACGTGGCATGCGTGACCCCGCTTTATAACTTTGTAGAGCAGACGCCCAGCAAAGAAGTAGCGCATAGTCACAAAGTGGTGTTGCTGCCTTCGTGGTTCTTCGTAATAGTTTATTAGCAGGTTATCTATCAGGTCCGTCTTTTAGCGTATGTGTTATGCACAGAGTCCTAGTGTCAGCATGCCATGAGTTATCAGCAGGCGTATTTAAAGCCTATTAAATAGGTTGTTTTAAATAAGTTTTAAACTTTTACCTTCATAATGATGTCATTAAGAGGAGATCAGCTTTAAGCACTGCAGAAAAACAGAATAAGGAAGAATATATTTATTCATTTCCTGACTTTGAGGCCAAACAGTGTCTTCTGGATGTTAGGCTAATTCTTTAGTTTTATTGGTACAGCACCTCGATACGCCAGGACTGAATGGGTCTTACTTTATGTGAGTTGTCCATTGCAGCTATTGACAAAGCAGTTGTGCTTGCTTTTGTTTGCCACCTGCCTTTCAGAGCAGTCAGGACTTTTAAAAGCCCTTTCCTGCCAACACCCTGTCACATTTATATTTCTGAGTAGCTTTGGCCCAGCGAGATAGATTTCAGTGGGATGTTACTCTTTACGCTATATAGACTAATGGATATCCCTGGAGTTAGTCTAGAATCAGGCTGGTGTCACTAAAATGAGAATCTACCCATATATATATTTAAAAACCTCACCAATGGTTGGCTGGCTTGTGTTCTGTGGAGAGACCCCACGGACTACGAGGCAAAACCTGCATCCTGCATGGAGGAAAGCTATTTCAAACCCCACAGTCCAAATTCCCCCTCTGTGGGGCGTAAATGAAATCATCTGACTCCAATGGGAGATGTCTGTCGCTTGGACAGAAGGACAGAATTTGCCGTTTAAACTGCTCCATGAATTTGGAAATGGGGAAGTATGTTTTAGTATTAATCCTGGGTTCTTGCTTTAATTAACGTCATCATGGTCTCAGCCGTGGTGGTTAGAGCTCCTCTCTCATGTAGGCAGACACTGCCAAAGTCTGCCAGTTTCTTCCTCTGCCGTGGGGTACTATACTACACCTGCACTTCTTATTTTGTTAGTTAGAAGTACATGTGAAGTATGATGTAACTGAAGCGAGCCTGGGATGTGGAATCTGGGTTATGAGGGCTGTGTCATACTTTTGGGCAGTTTGGGGTGCGGAGTGGGGAACAGAAGCGTGTTTTCGGAAATTGGTCTCTCTTTTTGTTACAGCTTGCAGCCCAGATGTCCACATAGGACTGGATATGGAAGGGAAAATTTATGATGCTACTATGGCTGACAGCTATCAACAATGTCAAAAAAGGTGTACCAATGACAACCATTGCCATTTTTTTACGTATGCCTTGGAAACATTTCATGATGCAAGCTTTCGGTAAATACAGGCTTGAGCCCTTCCCTTGAACAGCGCTGTGCTTTAGTAGAGTAAATCTCAGAGCAGTCTAAGGTGTGAGAATTTAGTCAAGTAAATAATTTTTCCTTGACTTGTCATCCTTGCAATGTTTATTCAAACTTACATATAGGAAAATGTCTGTAGTAAATTCACTTTCATTTGTCTATCAGGGGGAAAGACAGACTTGATTATCATAGTACTGAAAAAATGGAAATCCTCTGGAGATAATGAAATGCAAATTATATTGGTAGGTGTGCAGCATTATTGCTCTGTTAAATCTTGCTCTGCTTATTGCTCTGAAAATAGCATCATCAGAGCAGCCAGAGAGATTCTTTCATTTTTGAGCTGTTGATCTGCTCAATTTTACAAGTTAAACATTGTTCAGCTAGCTCTGTTCCTCATTGGAAGATTGCTCTGGAGATTGCTCTGGCCCATGGACAGAACATGCACCGTGGTAGGAATTACGGGGCCAGGAGGACGGTGTAGACCAAGGAAGATGGCCTGTTGTCTTACCACTTTCTTTATTCTTTGTCGCTCAGTAAAAAATGCTTCTTGAAACATACCAGTGTAGGAACTCCAGCCAGCATAAAGGTGCTTGATGAGGTTGTGTCTGGATTCTCTTTAAAGCCATGCCAGCTTTCTGAAATAGGTAACTATTTAAAAATCTCTGATTCAGTTTAGTTTTAAGGGTTATGGATGACGAGGTGCAGTCTATCCCTGACGTGTATAAATGTTTCATTATGTAAAATAATTCAAATATAAACTTATTCTTGCACATATAGTTAGTACTCTCAGGCACAAAGGAGGTTCAGATCTTTTTAATTTTTCCATTTTATCATTTGTCTTACAAAAACAGTTGCCTGCTTTGAAGATCTAAAGAATTCTTTCATAAGATTAGCTTGATGAAATTGCATGATACCTTTGTAGCGTGCATACAAAAAAGAAAGATAAAATCCCATCAAAGTCAAAGATCAGGAGGAATATAAAGCTTTCTAAATTCTGTTTGCGTATTCTGTATGCCCTTAGAAATTTATAATGAGGACCTGCAGCTTTCTAATACAACTGGCTAATATGAAGGGATGTATTTTGTGTTTTGAGGGTGATTTGTGATGCAAGCAGTGTCTGTGCTTATTCTTGCAATCATTACTCAGGCAAAACTCTCAAGAGTGCAAGATCAAACACTGTGTATTATACCTTCTTATTCTCAATTGAAACATCTTTTCCTTTTTTCTTTTTCTTTTTCTTTTTTTTTTTTTTTTTTTAAATCTACTTCCACCTTCTCTTACTATGTGGTATTTTCCCTTCTTAATGGTGATAATGTTCTGCTTCCGTATGGTCTTATTTTAGCTCACAGATAATCTAGTTTCCCCGTAGAAATCACATTTTGTAAAGACTCTGCATCTTTTTTTCTATAAAATCTATATTCTATATATTCTATAAGATAAAATATATATCAATATATTTTCTTGAGACTCTGCTAGTCCTACCGTAGGAACAATCTTTGGAAACTATTGAAAAAGTAGTTTTGTTCAGATCTTAACAATGAAGACCTTTAAAGAAAAATGAAGTGTAAGGAATAAAAAAATTAAGAAAAACTTTTGTAAAGAGAAGAAAACAATTTAGCTATTCCCTCACTATGTGTATGAGAGAGAATGGAGGGCAGATTATTTTTTCCAAACTCTTGCATTAAGATATGCTAGAAAGACACGTACTCATGGTTAGAAGAAAAATAACAGTACTCAGGAGGGTCCTGCTCACAGATTTTGAGAAGAATCGGGGGACTGTAGCATATGCACAAACATTATGATTTTAAGTTTAAAAAAAATCAAACCCGATCTGAGACTTTATCAAATATACTTATGGCAGTGATGACATGGCAGTAGTGATCCCTCACAAATTAAATCAGAATTTCTGAAAGCATGTGAAGGTCAATCTTGTTCTTACCTGCTTTTCCTTCCTTTCTGTGTCTTGTGAGAAAGGCAAGAGGAGAAGAGAGAGGAGGAATAAATCACGGGATCATAGAAGCCTAGATAATGCTATTGGATCAAGAGGTCATCTGTCCTAATCCAAGGCAGATCAGCTATACCTGTGCAGACAGACATTTATCAAATGTAGTCATAAAATCACAGTACCACCTTCTCCCTCGCTGTGTTGTAAATATCTGAAACGGGTTTATTTGAATATTTCTTCTAGTTTTCCTCTGACTGTATTTAGGCTGACTAGTCCTACAGTGTATACGTTCCAGTGCCATCATTTAAAAAATCCTTCCTCTTTCAAAGCTTTTGGAATCACAACAACTGTCTGTGAACACCAAAAGCTAAATTGTACCAAGAAACTTTGAGATTGCTTCGGTCAGGTTCTAAGACCATTAAAATCATCAGTATTATGGGATTGCTGTGTTTCCTGTTCTACCATGCCTTCTTCCCTCTGCTCAGTAATGGTAGTGTTGTTGACCATCTAAGTGCAGTTTGTTTTCATGAAGAAGACAGCGGGAAGGAGTTCTTTAGCCTTTTTTGTGTCCTTTGCCATTAGCTTTCCTTCTCCTCTGAGCAGAACCTGAGCTCCTTTCTTAATGCTAATCGAATGGTACTGCATATTTTTCTTTCAAGAGTTTGTTCCTTCTTATTTGGCCTTTCATTTTATGCCTTTGCCTTTCTGCTTTACGCACACGTGCTATTACGTATCCATAGGAATTTGTCTGTATTTCTGCCCTTTGCAAAGTACCTTCCTTGAGGTCGTTGAATATTGAACAATCACTGAACGTGATCATTGAGATCATGGGTTAGCTTCCCGAAACTTCCAGATCCACATGTGTGCTTTAAATATAATTTCCTTTAGAAACTATCCATTCTCCTGAACTCTATTTCCCCTTAACATGGGATCTTACCTACTAATTGTCAGAGTTAATTGACCCTTATTTTTTAGTCTCCTGATTTTTTTTTTTTGCCATTCTTATTGTGTAATTACTGTCCGTTATTGTTGTCCTTTCATGTTTATGTTTTTTGAAAACCTCATCAAGTTAACAGCAGTCACATTGAGCTCTACCTCTCCCTTTTACCGTTTTTCCCTTTCTGTAGTAAGAGGTTCCCAGTACGTTTCTATAACTCATTGGGTAGTGTCAACCTGGCTGCTGTACTTTCTCCACAGCTGAAGTTCTCTGCTGTCACCAGGTCCTGTATTTTGGATCATTTCACTGTTTTTACTGTCTTTACAGTTCGACAGTTTCAAGAAACATCACCCATGCTGGTGCTTCCTTTTTTCCTCTTTTTATTGTTGCACTGGGATTTTAACTAGGGCTTCAAGTACTTCTCTTTGGAGAAGGCAACTCATTCTTCTCTTTCTAAACATGCTGGTACTTCCTTTAACTTCTCTATCCGTGGTCTGGTTGTGTGAATTATCCTGCCAAGCCTCTGTTACGTTATTTTGGTCATGTCAGAGGGCAGACTGTGCATTACTCTGGCTTATTCTGCCTACTTTTCAAATAGCATTTAATAAAGCGTTAAGAGCACCATCACATTATTTTTCTTCTAGTTATCCCATGATCCTCTTAGGTATTCTCATTCCTTACAATTATTTTAGGCTTTGCCTCGGTTACCATGATTTATTCCTAACTGTGGGTTTGTATACTGGTCTCCACTGTTTGTTTGAACAAACTCCATTTGTTCCTGCTTTAAAGCCTTCCCTGTTAGATTAGCAAATCTGTATTCTAACATGTCGTTGCACTTTTTCTCTGTGTGAACCTTATCCCTGGTCAGCAGTCCTCTCCATGAGTTTACACACTCAAAAATGTTCTCGAGAAATAGTTTTTGGTTCAAATGTGCCGTTATCTTTCTAGCTTCTCGGTCACAAAGGAAGGAAAATGCGAATAAGGATAGAAGTTAATAACCTTAACATTCTGATGAGATAATAAAATCTTTGGAATTTTGATATTTTGCTCTTGTTTTATACAGATTGTCAAATGGACATTTTTGAAGATCAAGAATTTTCAGGAATGAATATTACAAGTTTTTTCACTCCCGATATCTCTGTCTGCCAAACTATATGTACATATTTTCCAAAGTGCTTGTTCTTTACATTCTTTACCAAGGAATGGCAAATAGACTCCCAAAGGTGAATATGACAACTAACTTTAATTCTCTAAGTAGATGTATTTTTTTTTTTAAAGCACACATTCTTTTTTTAACCGCTGTTTTCTTATACTTACGGAAATTTTTGTTGAAAGGTTATTTTCAGTAAAGCACAGTGCTTTATGTTTTGTATTCATAAGTTTACTAATTTCCTGTGGGCATTTCATCTGTTCTCCAGCGTGATCAGGGGTTTTGTATTGCCGCTGCATATCTGGTGTTTATCTGAAGAGAGTTATACACATCAAAGAGACAGTGAGCCTCCGGATTGCTTTAATGACTCAAACCTGAATGGTATGAAATTATCAAAAGAGTCATCTGATCTCCTAACAGTATTAAGTTATTCACTTGAAAAGATTTTTGATAGAATTAACAGGTTTAAAAATGTTTCTATTGAACTTTCTTCTTTCATACTTTTAGTAGTGAGGATAGTTAAAAATCTACATTCCACACAAACCAAAAGAGTAAGGTTTCAAAGGAATTTCAGTGAGAAGCAGAGCTGAGATGGCATATATCATCTAAAGTCACCTCTTCTGTGTACATATAAATCCTGTGTGACCATTAGTAGAACAGCCATATGCCATTTCACAAAACTACGAACAAGTCCCCTCAATTTAGTGTGAACTTAATGAATGCATTTACCTATGAAATACTTTTACAGATAGAGACTTGGGAGAAAAAACACATTTAAGAACGAACCTTCCTTTACCAGTACCTAAACCATCAATTTTAGGATGTGAGAACAGATTTAGTTATTGTAAAAAAAATCTTCATTTTAGAAATCTTTGCCTTCTGAAGACCTCAACAAGTGGGATACCAGAGGCACTTATATCACGAGAAAATGCTGTATCAGGCTTTGGTCTCCTAAATTGCAGAAGAGCCTTTCCTGGTAAACAATGAATTACAATAAAAATACTAATTTCGAATTACTGAGATTAATGGACTTTCTGATGCTTGGAATGCTTTCATTCTTACAGCCTGCAATTCTCGTACTTATATGCATATGAATTTTTTGGGAGATGAACTCAATGTCACTTATACTAAAGGACACAGAGCCTGTCAGCAGGTTTGCACAGATGTGATCCGCTGCCAATTTTTTACCTACTTTCCCCTCCAAGATTCATGCAATGAGGAAAGGTGAGATATATTTTTTAAAATGTTCAGATACTGCCAAAATAATCATTCTGCAGACTTGGTGAGGGGGTAATGTATGTGTTCTGCCTAAAAAAAGTACAAATGAATCTCTGCATTAATTTATTGGCAGAAAGTGTGAGTGTCACCTGAGAATGTCCTCAAATGGGTCTCCCGTGGAAATAGTACATGGGCCAGGAAGGATCTCGGGATACTCACTAAGATTGTGTAAAAAAAAGGCCAGTACTGGTAAGTAAAACTTCGTTCACGTAAAAGAGACAGTGCTTAACTGATTTCACTACAGGAAGCCAAAGCCTCCTTTTTTTTTTTTTTTGTAAATGGAATTGTTGCATTGTGCCAGTGGGACGGCTCGTGAAGTTCGAGTGTTCTGCAAAAGTGAAGTTGGCCAGGTCCGCACGTTGTGAACACCAGCGGTAGCACTGTGAACTTGGGTGTAATAGACTTTGTGACCGTAAGGGCATTAGAACGTACTGTGTATCACCTTCTTCGCAACAGATCGGTCCCTGTTCGGGGACCAGCAGTACCCTCATCTTCATTTTTTCACTGGTGAGCGCGCATTACCTTTAAGCGCCGTTTTAAATTACTTCTGTAGTGTGTATGCAGCATTCTGCAAGAACAATTAGGATCGTTGGAGGGACGGACTCTTCCCCCGGTGAATGGCCGTGGCAAGTCAGCTTGCATGTGAAGTTGTCTCGTCAGAGACACCTCTGCGGGGGCTCGATCATCAGCAACCGGTGGATCCTCACCGCTGCTCACTGCGTCATGAGGTGAGGCCTAAACGTCAGTGTGCAAATAAAACCGAAAATTTCATCCAGCGTGTGAGATAGGTTGAGTTTTGCCTTTCAGAAAAATAAAAATGAGGACTAGAATAAAACAAACTGTTTTAATGTAACCCAAAGGTGAACTTCTAAGGCAGACTATTCATATACTTAATGTAAGTGGAACTCCATACTTCGTCCCTTTGTAACATAGTATCGTACTGTTGATGCTAAATTATTTTAATGCATCTAGAAGATGAAATTCTAAAGCAGACACCAGATACCTACAGAAATGTAGACATTCTCATGAGAGAAGATCTTTTTCGTACTGTAATACCGTATCATCAAGGAAAAGCTGTTGCTAGGTTACTCCATTTCATAAATTTCAAGTGATTTATCTCAGAGGTTTCTCCGTGGCACTTAAGAAACAGTACTAATCCGATAGCTTCAGCAGCAGGGAGTTCAGCCAGTTAGTTTATTTGTGCAGGACACGAAGTAAATGGCTGTGGGGGTCCAGTTAGGCTGCTTCTGGTACCTGAGCTACCTATCTCTCTGTTACGTGAAACATCCAGATCCCAATTGTCCTGGCTTTCCTTTAACAGTTGTGGGTTTTTTCAAAATTCTGTCAGTCAATACCCTGTTTTGATGCAGATTTCAGCTGTGAGAACAAAATTTAAAGCAGCCGATACCTAAGACTTTGCTAATTTGCACTGACCCGTATAGTCTCTGCTGTTAATCAAATTGCCATCAGATTTGGGTCATGGAATTACTTGCGTTGTGAAGAGCTGACTTAATTGTCGTGCAGGTGATTAATTTCCTTTAGGCTGCCATCACCTGTAAAGCAGGTTATGCTGCCGTTTACAGGGTGAAAGTGTAAGGCTATAATGCAGCCTGATGGGAGAAACGGGTCCGGTAACAGAGAAAACGCTTCAAAGAGGACGCTGACCCAGCAACATGGTCCAAAATCAGGCACGTTTACTCCCGCAGCGTAGTATGTTACCCATTATTGTTTTTGTGTAATAGTAGTGCCAATATTTTGCCTCCAGCGGCAAACTTTATAAAAGTAGTTGAAGTCTCTAAAAAACCCTACATAAGAAATACCTTTATCTGGTATCCTGTGTAGAAGTTACCAGTATTATAAAAGGCAAAAGGGAGAAGATATGCTTGGAAAATAAAAATTTAAAAATAGACTTTGGAAATTATTAAGTCTAATGGATACTTATAAATGCATATATAAAATCTTCACAACTTTTGGAAAGTTTATTTAAGCCAAGTTTTGCATCTTCTTCATTGCATATGCCAAAAACTTGTGGGTTGCCTTAATGGTAGAATCTCATAATGAAATATCCCTTAAATTTACTCAAAGTAAAGTTGAAATCATAAAGATTATCTGGAACTTTTCATGTATGTCTATGATATTATACTTCCTAATCTATATTTACACGGCTAGTGTCATTTTCCTAACAAATAAGTGTCAGAACAGACTCTACTTGAATTTATATTCCCAACCTTATTTTCATTACTAGAAAATCTGTTGTATTGGAATGAATGGAAAGAATCTCACTTACTACTTCAGGGCTTGCATTAGGCCATTAACTAGGAAAAAAAAAAAAAAAAAGAAATAGGAGAAGAGAAAATAAAAGGAGGCAGAAAAGGAAGGAGGATGAAGGATCAGGATAATGAGAATGAGTCTGAACATAAAGGAGAAAGAAAACTGGTGTGGGGATGAAAATATGAATAGGGAGAGGAACAGAAAGAGGGAGAAGTGGAGGGAATAGACACAATGAACCCTTCTTTGGTTTTGAGAGTGTGAACATAAGAAATGGGAAGAATGACCTTAGTGCTGCTGTTCACTGTACACTTGGGAGTAATGGAGGATGTTGGCATCTGCACACAAACTCTACATCAGTGCAAATCTTGTGCCACAGACTGACTGTTTGTCTTTTTCCTTCAGTCTTGAGAATCCCAACATTTGGCGTGTTTATGCTGGTATTTTAAAACAATCAGAAATAAATGAGGATACGCCCTTCTTCAAAGTGGAAGAGATTATTGTTCACCCTCAGTATAAATACGCACAGACTGGATATGACATTGCTTTAATGAAACTTGATAAACCTATGAATTTTACTGGTATGTAGTGTATTTCAGAGGAATTCTGAAAATGTGCAGGATGACACAGGGCTGGCATTGGTATGGCAGTGCATGACACCTGGGCTGGCTTCCTTTAACACGCAGTTACTGGGGTTTGAAGAGAGTCGTGTTCTGTTGGCTTTGAAAAGAAAATGGGTGGCTTTTATTTATGTCACTGGAACAATATGTAGTGTGAGGGACAAAGCATAACATGGAGGCTATCATCAGGGGTTGTGTGGGTGCCCACAAAACCCTGATCTTGCACTTGTCTCTGCTGGTCAAACTAACATTTTCAATAATATTTTAGATCTTCAACTACCTATTTGCCTGCCATCAAAAGAAGACGCTAACGTACTTTATACGGACTGTTGGGTAATTGGATGGGGTTACAGAAAAGAAAAAGGTACAGATAAATATCTAAATAGTGAGTTCTTGTATTTGCAAAATTCACGTGGTTAAAAAAACCAATCCCTGCCCTTTTTTTAAAAAAAAAAAAAGAAAAAGAAACCCCCCTTCTTTTTTAAAAGAAAGTTCTACTATGTTCTTGGCTACCATTATTGCTATTGGGCCAGCACTGTAATATAGTTCTTAATTAGAATCTACTTCTATGAAGACATCATAAAACATATATGAAAGGTGTATGAAATTATCATTAAATAACTCCATGCTCTGGCACAAAAATTAGATTTTAGAAATCATTTGAAATATGTAAGAATGCAACCTTCAATATATCCTGTACAGCCCTCAAATACTTTTCCTCAGATTCTAGCTTAATCTACTGGCAAAACCCAGCGCATATCTGGGATGCAGACTCCTTTTGGCACTCCCAGCCATAAAAAGCCAGCAGACTTATCACTGAAGTGTGAGGTTTTAATTACAGTCTGCACATAACCCATGCCTTTTTTTTTTTTACATGATTGTATTCATATGACTTTGGAGATTGAAGTATGTTGCTTTTATGATTCTGAAGGTTGATTATAAACAACCTCAATGACTTCTGTGTTTTGATAGTAGATGGGATTTAAGCTCCTCTGATTTTTATCTGGAGGTACGGCAAGTAGCTGTTAGTTATCGAAGTCTGTGTTACATGTATTTATTTCTATTTTTATATGTGTAATATTTACACGTGTGTGTGTGTATACACAAACGTCCCATTTAAAGTGTCCTTTCCTGTATATACGTTCCTATCTGAAGGTTAGAGTTCAACGTGAAATCTAACAAATCTAGCCAGATATTGTATAGGCTAATTTCTTCATTAATTAGTTAATTTATAAGAAAAGGCTGCTCTTGAATACTCTCACTAACTCTATGTGCAAATTTCTCCATCCTGTAAACTGCTGGGGCATGGAGCAGCACAGATTTTGCAGCTAGGAGATTCCAAACCTATTGTAACACATTCCTAAGAAATAATTGTTAATAACACAAAGCAATGCTCTTAACGGGAGGACAGGTTCCAAGGGCCAATGCCCTGAAAGCGATACTCATATGAGGATTCGTTGCAAATCATGAGGGAGTTTTGAAGCTTGACCAGTCATAAGACATAAAATGGCATCACAAAAACATTCAAATTAGCAGAGAATTCGCACATAAAAAAGGGAAAATTGGTGTCGTGAACATTTAGCAACACTCTAAAAGCAGTGGCCTCCAGCTTTGTAATATCACTGTATGGGGATTTCTAGAGTTTAACTTTTTAACTTTTATTTTGCTAGAAGCAAATATTTCTCTGTTCATACTGCCTATTACATAGGTCGTGTAGAAGATATTCTTCAGAAGGCTACCGTTCCCCTCATGTCAAAGGAGGAATGCCAGGCAAGGTACCGGAAGCGCAGGATAGGTGACAAAGTGATCTGTGCTGGCTATGATGAAGGTGGAAGGGATGCCTGTAAGGTAATGGAAGTCATATATAGTCTGACCATTTGTTCAAATACGTAATTGAATACTGTAATTATTTTTAATTGCCATTGGAAAAATACGGTTATCAATAGAGCTGTTCATTGACTTGTCACTTTTGCGTGTCAAAAGCACTGAAAGTCAGGGTATATGCATTGAAATCTTTAGGGATCGATTCCATGGATAAGAAACTCTGTGTGTGTGTATATATATATCTCATCCATTTAGGCAATAAAATGGTATTCCTTCAGAGTATCAGAAATCCAGAGAGAGCAGCAAGTCAAAGCTGCTCAAAGCTATCTCAAAGCACTTCCCCAATAAAAGTGGATTTCCCATGTGATGTTTTTATTTCTTGACATGAAATACAGTACATAAAAGCTTATTTTAAAGCATCCACTGTGTGGATGCACCCAGAAGGGAGGGTGCTGGAGATGCTGTTAAATGCATGGGGAATGGAAGGCTAAAGGCAATCTGAGCAGACTGGTCTGTTCGTTGTTAGAATTTAAAACGTCGCAACAGCGCGAGTTCAGTGAGCCAAGTTCTCTGCTCGAGTGTAAACTCATGCACTTCCATTAATTTAAATATTCTAAGTCAATTTATGCAAGAAGAAAATAGTCTGATTAGCAAGATTAAATTCCCTACCAAATACGGTATTTTCACTTTAAGCATTTAAGAGTTAACATTCTTATGTGAAAATGTTACTGTTACTATGATGGGTATTGAGTAACTAGGAATAAAAATATTTGGAGCTGGGAAGTAATTTTTCCTCTATTGCCAGTGATGCTTTCTCTATCTGATACAGTGTACCAGAACATGGAGATGCTGTCTTAGAAAAACAACACACTTGCTATTGTCTCAACAACTCATAACAGCTGCACTCAAGAAGCTTATGTTCAGAAAGATCAGTTAGGAACAGAAAAAGAGAACAGAGAGGTGTTTAATCCTGAGGGGAACAGAGTCACACAAACAAGATAAGCCACATAAAGAACTGAGGTTTGCCTACTAAAACCAAGGATGTAAGAGAAAACATTGGCAAATTTACTGTTTTTCTCACCTGTACATGTAGTCTTCACTGGGTTTTAAATCCATTTATGTAGATAAATTAAAAGAAAAAAAAAAAAGCCAGTATTTTTGAACCTTCACGGGAAATGGAAATTATTTGCAACGACTGGAAAATATTTAGAAGTCAAGTTACTAGAAAAACAGGAAACCTGTTTCAGTAGCCTATTAATTAGCTTTAAGCGAAAGCGATTGAAATCTAGACAGTTACGCTGGTGTTAATGCTGAATGACGCTGATTTTAATCAAGGCTTTCTTTGGGAGGGAAATACTGACGAGGGCTCTTCCTTGCGTGCTCTGACTTTTTCTCCCGTGGCACAGGGAGATTCAGGAGGGCCGCTGTCGTGCAGGCACGAGGAGGTGTGGTATCTGGTGGGCATCACCAGCTGGGGCGAAGGGTGCGCTCGCCCCAGGCAGCCGGGCGTCTACACGAAAGTTGCTGAGTATTCCGACTGGATTCTAGAAAAAACCACGTAGCGTGAGAGTTACCTGCTGGCTCGAAGCGATGGTGTGGCACGGTAACCCTCGGAGCAATGTGATGAAATGTATTAGCGTTTTTTTAAAGGGTGTTTCTTGTTAGCCTGGAATGTAAAAGAGTTGATTAAAAATGTAGAAGAGCAGTAATGAATGCACTTTGCCATTACTAAATAAAAATAAACTCTGTGGTCACTGATTTGGCAGAAAAAAACCCAACGTGTCTGAACCATTGATTCTTTTTGTCCTTGCTAGTGTAATATGGGAGCGGAGGAGGTTTCGCAGGGCACGTATGGACCTGGGAGCTGGGAACTGCTTCTGACTCCTGAGGTCTGGACACAGCAATGGAGATTTTCCTCCAGCCCAACCAGTTACAAACTTACTAAGGGGCTTGGGGAAGGGAAGCTGAGGCAGGGAAAAGCCTATACAACCTTGTTTCCTTAGGGAATTAGCCCCAAAAGTGGCAGTCCTAGCCAAGAAGACAAAACCAGAGGCCTTGGCAAGCTCTTCAGTAACCGTTTTGCAGGTATAGTAACAGCGCTGTCTTTGACTTACATTATTCTAATTTCTGTGGAAAGTTTTGTGGTAAGAATGATAATTTGGGTCTATTTCCCTTGCAGCAGGATATCCAGAAACTTGATAAAAGAGTCATCCCCTTCAGAGACATCATAAGCCATTAGTCTTTAGCACAATATATTTTTATTTTCCAGATCCCTAACTCTCCTTGATTAAAGAAACCGCTTTCTCCTTTTCCTTTATCTCCTTTTTCCTTTTATCCTTTCTCCTTATTTTGTGTCAGGTAGCAAACACATTCCAGTGTGAGAAACAGGAGTCAAAAATGTATTACTTGCCCATAGTAAGAGGCAGCAGTTCAGACTGAATCAGAAAGGAAGGCACAGGACTTGGCGTTGTCTTTGCCAAACTTTGTGAACTTGTTTCCTAATCATCTATATTACCTTAATTGCTGAAAGTATGTTCTGGAGTGTTACTCATAATTGTCACGCACCCATACTGGGTATGTTGTGGAG